GGTGCTAGAACCGAAGAGCGAGTAGGCATGGGTGTCTTCGTTGACTTGGAATTATTTGTCTTGAGGTTTCGCGGATGTCCTGAAGACCCACGACAAGGGGAGGAGCTGGAGCTCAAGGCGGGGCCCAAAGGTCCGCTCGAGGACGCCGCTGTTTCCATCCTGGTGGCTTGTCGGGTCGAAGCAGCTTGTTCAATAATGGGATTTGGGTTCTGGTGATCGAATACGGGGTTGTAGGGTCCTCTGGAAGTCTTGGGTTTTTGGGACATGTAAGTGGCGAGTGTGGAGAAGAGGGAAGGGAAGACGAGCAGCAATATATGCGCTCAATCCTCCCGTCCCTGTGATGTCGGCTAGGTCTCCCTGGCACCCAGTCACCCCATTAGTATGGCCCCGGATCGTTCCCACACACGTGCTTGTGTCTAGCACGGTGCAGCGTCCCAGACCCCGCCCTCTGCGACTCCTGCCACAGAAAAAGGAAGACTTGATGTGTGCCCAGCACGTGACCAGCACATGATCAGACCTTCTAGGCCGATCGGAGAATAGAACTCAAAAGTACAAGTCTGCCCTCCTTGAGTGGCGCGACTCCTATTTCCTCTACAGCTACAATACCACCGGTGTAGAGAGTAGAAGCCACGATAGGAGGGAGGGAGTGGGTAGCTCAGCTCTCACCGCAAGGTTGAGCGCTCCCGAGCACTTCACTCCCATGCATGGGGAGTACTCTCCGCCTTCCTCCATCTCGCTAGTAGTGATGGGGAGGGTGGGGGTTGTCCAGCGCTCCCATGCACCTCGACGCAGGCAATAGCTGCTTGCTCCCCAGGAGCTGAGCGCTCATGTCTGCCGTCGCTTCTCCAGCCGTGGTGAAGCCCCTCGCGGTGGGCTCCATTGTGATGCGGGTCGCTGAGGCTTTGCCACGCTGGAGGTGAAGCGTGCACGGACGTCGAGTCCGGCACTGCCATACGAGCAGTGAGCGCTATGGAGCGCTCCTGCGATAGATGCTCCTGGGTCGTGTAGACCGTGATAGACCCCTGTAATGTGGGGGCCGCGGAGCAGTTGTACGGTTGCTCAGCCAGGCAGGGGGTCTAACGTAGAAGGTGGTTTGCCTTGGTGGATCTCGGGCTTCACAACATATGAGTTGTTGCAAAGTAAGATAAGATTAGGTAAGTAATGATCGCAGATCATCTACCTATTGTAACTAACAAATATATGTATGTACATTATACCGAATTGTATTTCGTAGTGGAACCGCACCGTGTCCATAGTCCGTATACCGTCACAAGGAGCGAGCACAAGGGCAAGGGCAAGGGCAAGGGAAAGGGATGCCACCCACCGGTAACACCATTTGTACCCCGCCTCCCATCCTCCCTCCCTCTCCTTCCCTGCTGCATGCCTCTTACCCGACAAAATATTGTCATGAATCGCCCAGGTTCTACTTTTTCACGCAACGTGTCCGTACGGATACAGACACGTCTTAGCGGCACGGGACTCTTATGGCGCCACCACATGACCTTCTCACAGTTGAAACCTGGCCTCGGATTCTAAAAGCCACAGACTCAAGGAGTCTGCACCACAGGATACAGAAGACGTTAGGGACTAGGAACCTGTACGAACGGATCCTAGTCCCCGGATGCACCAACGGCTGACACAGAAATGTACACGAAGTACATGAGTGGTTGCAAACCGATCGGGGTTTGAACCACTGGATACGATGACACCCAGGACTAGGAAACCCAAACGTTGGGTCTCCTAAGTCCTCCGACGCCATGGAAACCAACACAAAGGAGTCTAGGATCATCAATGTTAACGCCCCTTAATGCTGTGGTACAGGAACTGATCGCAATTGACCGCGATCACTTTAATTTATTAGAAGCCTATATAAGCACAGTAGAATCTCCATGTACAGTAGATTCTACCTCGTCTAATCTCAGGCTTCTACCTTGGCTTGACATAGGCATTATCTCCACCCTGCCCCGCTTCCTCCACATTGTACTACAGGTTGCATCCACACCCCGGGTTATATACCTGAGTGGATATCACACCTTCTTTGACTTGTTCGGAGTTTTGCCTTGCATCCCGACCTACAACATACGGCCTCCTAGGGAGGATGCCATACAACTGGTTCTACTGCTTGGGGAACACACGAGCTACTGGCATCTATCAGGTTTATCCTGGTTGGGGTTCTCGCTGGGTTGCTCGCCGTTTAGCCGACCCGGAGGCTGTTGCTGACAAATATGCGGTGGTGTTAGAGCTTTTCAATACAGAGGTGAAGAGAGGGACCTGGAAAGCAGTGGTGGACGCCTGGCTGATGCTGGAATACACCACTGGCTTCCAAGTCTTGGGGAAAGCTCTACCTATCGGCGGCCGTCCAGCAGCAGTTTCCGGATGGGTGCAATGTGAACATGGCACTACCTGAATCCCCACCAGCCTCGGCAGCGAAGACGAGTGTGAGGATTTCTACGCAGCTGTGGTTTCATGGTGGCTGAGTGTGAATCAGGTGTGGAGGAAGGAGGGCATCAAGAACACAGAGAGATTTGAAGCACTGAAACGGTGCACTAGGGTGCAGCCGTGAAATCTAATGGATTGACTAGTGAGAAAAGCGAACTAGTCACTCTACTCAAACCAACCAAAACCAAAATAATTCACTAATCCTAATCCTAATACTTGTGTGTGTGTGTGTTCGAGGAGGTAGGGTACGTATCACCTGTCAAGAGGGTGTGCAAGGTTGAAATAAGGCTTTGTTTCAATAGCAACTATGCAGTTTAAGTACAGTTATGCTAGGGTAGCAGGGACTTCACGCCAACAGGATATCAAGACTCAAGTTAAACCTTAGACTGTTCAAGTCCTCAGTTTCTTTGTGAGCGGCAGAACCTAACACTACTGGCAGCTAGCCAAGAAGCAGAAGGTAGGGCAGACTATCAACAGACAGATGCTACTTCAATATCAACCAACACTGCACGAATGGCAGCGGTATCAACAAAACAGGGGCGGTTACACAGAAGGTGGATGCTGGGCTAAGGTGCAGACAGTTACACTGAAGGCGGCAGTTTCACTTCTACTGGCACAAACTAGTCTTTAGTCCTGGAGGCCTAAAGTGCTGCTACAGGAGACAAGAGAGTGTTGATTTACACAACAAGTCTTAATCCTAGAGGCCTAAAGCGCTGTTACAGGAGACGGGTTGGTGCAGGTTGAGTGGGGCTCTTATATCAATGCAATTGGTAGTCTTTTCGATGTCTCGTATCTCTTAGTCTTTTCGGTTCGTCTGCAAGTCTTATTTGATTTCTTTCACAAATCTAGAGTCTACTATATTGCCCGTATATCTGGGGGATAGTTTACTGGCTAATACAGAGTACACAACTGGATTTTATACATTTCAGAGAGAAGTAAAGGAGATAGACGGAATGAATAGGAACAATAAAGGGTGAGAGCCCGAGTAGTGAATGGCCAATGGTGTAGAAGACATTCTCAACCATGGGTATTATGACCGGCTACCGGGGCTAAACCACATGTATTTCTCTAGCACGCCATAAGACATGCTTAGTTGTCTGGGTTTCCATCTTTCTGACTGAGCAAGTCTGTCATTGCTGACTAGTCAAGCCACTCTTAGTCAAGTTCTATTCAATTTCTCTATCAGTCCACACTTCACAAGCTCAGTGGAACTCATAGTAAATATCAAGCAGATTGACAAGATAGTGTGGTGCTATACTGGCACACCAGTATAGTGACTAGTAAAATATAGCACAGCGCTATTCTATGGTGTCGATCCTCCGGCGCTATTCTATAACATCAATCCTCATCAATCATATCAGTAAATCCTTGATGCGAGGCCCGCATCTTTCTAACGGTCAGATCTGCCCGAGTAACCACAGTGATGATTAACTCGGTAACAAGTCTTCATCCTAATCTAATCATTTGGCCATATACACAAAATGGCGCGGCGCTATATCCCTGCCAGCCCTAATGTGGTTGTACCAATCCTGACTTCGTATATCTTGCTTTAATAGTCATCAGACTATTCAGAGGCCGTTGAGATGGCAAGTCAATAATTCTGAGTAGTCCCCTGATGTTTCACCTCCAGCGCATAAGACCATGGCTTACCGCCACCATCTATAGCTCAGTGTAGAATATCATAGTCAGGATGTAACAGCCTTTTGGGCTGCCTTGTCAAGTCTACTCAATCCTTCATAGTTGGTTTGTTACACTGACTTTTGGCCATCAATAGTGTAGCCTACCACCCCAGGGAGGGTGTACACTCATAATCTAATGCCTCACTTCTGCCTGCTAATAGGTTCAAAATGAAATAAAAACTGGTGTTTTCATGCATGTTTTGGTACATGCCCTATCAGCGCGTGGGCTGATACAGTGCGGTGGGGGTGACCTTGAAACCCTCCCCTCAGGGTTGAATGGGCTGATGAGCATTCTTGCATGCCTCACGTGGTGGTACCATGTCACCGGGGTTTCAGAAGGTGCGCCAAGCTGGAGACAATTGGTGGAAGATGTTGTTTGGGTGCTCACCGAGAAACATTGAGCCTTCATATATAAGCAGGCAGCTTTGGATGCTCTGGGGAACTCTACGTCCAAGTGTGCCCACGTCAAATAGCTATTCAATTTACTTTTTGTTATTTGATGGCGGTAATATATATTTCTTGGCCCGCTTCCAAAAACGGCAGTGCCCCAAAGCCTGGCCAATATATTGGACCCTATCAGACCATTTTGGGATGTCCAACATGGTCGGAGATAATAAAGCCTGGTATCTGGCCTGGAAGGTACTCGTATATCGATGTCCAATATGAAATTGAAGGAGCTCAACTTAAGTTAATGCCAGTCTGAACCACAGCAGGACTCAAGTCCCACCAAACTTAAGTTCTGCCTTGCATGCAGTTGGCCTGTACATAGGACCAAACCCCCTGGAACTTAAGTCCCATTCTACTTAAGTCCCGCAACACTTAAGTCCCCAAGCACTTAAGTTCTGTCCAAATACTTAAGTCCTGTCCAAACACCAAAAACAAATCCACCAAGGGGATTCGAACACCAGACTTCCCAACTTCATACCAGGAGAAGGTGAAGGTGAAAGTGTTAACCACTACACCAGGGAGGATATACTCTGCCAATACACACAGATAGAATATTAGCCTCATAATGGCCTAAACCTTCTCCACTTGTTTTATTTTACCTCTTCAGGTCCTGTTGGCAAATCATTATCCATAGATGATTCAGAGATTGATCTGTTTCAATACATTAATCTACATAAGAAACATGATGAAAGATGACTAGAAATAACAAGTAAGTCAATACATTTGCAGTACTTAACATGGTAGAGAGAGGGCATGGAAGAATTCTAATAACAGTCCACTTGAGAACTGCAGGTATAGTCTTCCTGGTGTAGTGGTTAACTCCTCTGATTTTCGTCTCCTGGAAGTCACAAGGTCAGCAGTTCAAATCTCTTCAGTGGATTTTGTTTTTGTGTTTGATATGATCCTTGTTGCAATCACTCAAGTTCTCTATCACTTAAGTTCCCTGGTGGTCTGGACCGCCTGGAACTTAAGATGAGCTAATAAAGTATCTGGTCCAATGGCTGTACGCTCACTACCACAAACTTTTGCAAAATGTGATCTCCTGACACTGCCCATCCCCCACTTCATATAATACATCAACTAGCTGAGGGAGACCGTCCATCTCTCCTCCTTCCTGAACACTCGAGCACATACCAGTGCGACCACCAGGCCATGCCTGAAGCTCCAAACATACTCTGAGGTTGTTTGGCCTCGCTGTGCCTCACGTGCACCCAAAGACAATTGGTCTCCTCAACAGAGGCACCCAGTCTTCTGCTGTATATGCACCCCGAAACACCTCATGACGTTCCCTGCCCCCCTGGAAACACCTGTAACCGCATGGCACCTCTGGAAACATAGGAAGTTGTTGAGGAGGTATAAAAGGGAGTGCATTTAGTAGGAGTAGTCAGTGCCTTTCAGCCTGCAGAAATAGCTCCCGGGGCATTTCCCCCACTTACTGTACCACTCTCACTCAATCTAAAGGGGTACTCCCAGCCTTCCCTGACCTCATACCTCTTGTGCACCCGCCTTGTCGCCCCACAGCCGGAGACAGGCCACATCTCTTACATTTGCTTGTTCATCGGTGTCTCACCTCCCACACCTTCATCAGCAGGGTCCCTGCTCACCGGACCCAGTGCCACATTTCCAGGCTTCCTTGATTAGGATCACAGTTCTTGTGAACACCACTCTGTAGATGACAGGCCCAGAGAGAAGCCATCACATTCAAATCACCGTCCATAGCCAATGAGACCAATTGTCTCGTCGTTGACCAGAAAATGTCAACGTCATCATCTATGCAACACTCATTGCATCTCCAGTGCTGGTTCTAAAAGGAAGAGTGCACCAAGGAAAGCAGACAGGGCAATGCATTTAGGGTTCCAGTACACTTGTACAAGGAATCAGATTTAGTAATTCACATCTTCTACATCGTTTTCACTGACAACAGGTCCACCACACTCATCCACACCTAGGAGACGAACGGTCTCCACAAATCACCATTCACACATACACACATACAGACCGCTCACACAAAGCCAATTCACACACCGACCTTCCCCCCTATCATTTGACTATACTTTCCCCTCTAGAGGATGAACACAGTTGAATTCAAATCACATACTTTTCAATACCAACACCGTGGTCCTTATCCCAGTGTTGACGTCGCCGGCAAACCTCGCGTGTCACAGGGCATGGCATGTGACCCCTCTCTGCTTGCTGACCTATGGACCCTGGTTATACCACAATCCATCTGACAGTCTTGTGCAGAGGACATCGTCCTAGCGCTCTCCCACCCTAATCCGACCCATCCTGGTGTTGCTGGCCCACACACCCTCACTTTGCGGCTTCTGATGGCTCACAGATTCCAGCAGCTGCAATGTTCAGGAACCCCCGGTCTGTAACATTTGCGACAGTGTCACCATATGGCACCATCCAGGGTTCCCTCGACCTGATGGGGTCTCTCACGAATATAGGTGCAGGCAAGATCTACAGCCTCATCGCTGTGACCTTACTTCTCTCTCGCAATCCCCATACTCCTCCGCCCCCTTCATCTGCTCCCCCCTCTCCTTCCACTCCCACCAACATTATTTTCACTGACCATCTTAACTCTATTCAGTTACTCCAATCCTCTCTTCACACCCCTTCCTTCCTCATTACTGAGACTCTTCCAAACTGTTCCTTGTACTGCTGGCCTAATAGTCACACCGCCGGTTCTTCAATTTAACAGGCATTTAAGTTAGCTACACTTTTAAAAGTATCTTAATACACCTATCAAAGTCCAAAGAAATGTCTATGAAACTTTGAGTATTGCCCTGCCTTTTGCTGGCGATGAAGTGCAATATAAAAAATAGGGAATAAATGGTCTTGAAGTGAATGCCAAAACTATAGGTATCAGGCTGGTCAATATGCCTGTTGATACTTTAGATTTAGAATTAAGTTTAGAGGAAAATGAAATAAGAAGTACGGATTCTCATTTATAGGGGTTTTAAAGTGAATACAAAACTTCGGACTTCGGACACCATTAAACTCATCTGCAGATGGTCTGCAGACAGTCAGCAGATCATCTGCAGATCATCGTCATGATGTGTATTTGCCTTACATTTCAATGATGATGATCTGCAGATGGTCCGCAGATGGTCTGCAGATGGTCTGCAGATGAGTTTAGTTGTGTCTGAAACCTGAAGTTTTTCATTCAGTTTAAAACCCCCTTAAACGAGAATCCATACTTCTTATTTCATTTTCCTCTAAACTTAATTCTAAATCTAAAGTATCAAAAGGCTTATTGACTGCCCTGATACCTATAGTTTTGGCACTCACTTCAAGACCATTTATTCTCTATTTTTTATATTGCACTTCATCACCAGCGAAAGGTGGGGCAATACTCGAAGTTTCATGGACATTTATTTGGATTTTGATAGATTAGATTCTGTTAAGTCCTAAATCAAATATATAAAATTCAGTTTCTGACTAATTTATGTGCATTAAGATACTTTAAAAAGTGTAACCAACTTAAATGACTGTTAAATTGAGGAACCAGCGGTGCGAGTCTCTCCCATATCATCCCTCTTTATCACACATTAAATCCCACACAAAAAACAAAGATTTACCTCCTTTACTCAACAGTCTCGTAGATAGATTGGCCTCTTCCTCGCATTTCGGCCCCCTTCGCCCACCTCCTGTGCCAGTTCCAACCTTCACCATGGACCCGTTTGTGCTCTATTCCCCTGCCGACTGCTATGTCAACTCTGTGTTGCCCCTGTACCTCCGACACATGCTCCTGCCAACAACTACTGCATTCATCCCACCACAACTGCAGCTGCTCTCCCTATACTGCCCCCACACCCCTCCTGAACACCCTTATTTCAATGTGTTGTCTACATTCTCTGCACTCACCCAGCTTTACGTCCACTTGGCTCAGCTACTCGCAGCCATGACTCTCCACAAGCGCAGCATGCTTCCAGACTCGTCCTGTCAAAGAGGCTGTCCGGCTGCAGAGACAGAGCACCACATATTTGTGAACTGCCCAGCCTTCACTCCTCTCAGAGCCGAGGCAACTGCCGCAGTTTTTCGTGACACATCCTGCCACCTGAACGACACTGACATTCCCTTGAAGACGGTCCTACAATTTGCACATCTCACCAATTGTCTCTTCTGCAATGATGCATCTTTCTGGCCGCAGATATTCTCTCAAGACCATCTCAACCTTATCCCTCCACTCCCCACTATCCACATCCCCGATAAAACCTCCTCGGATGTTCAGAGGGTCACCTTGGCTGTCACGAGTATTTGGGACATGGTGTCTATCCGCCTTGCCGGCAGAATTTGGGGAAAGGTACTATGGCATTGCAGACACAGTGAAACAACTACAGTCCGCAGATGAACAGTTTCTGGACACGGTGAAGCAAGTGAGGACTGTCTTGCTACCATTCATGGCACCCCTTGCAACAATCCACTGAATTGTTATCTTGCTTTATTTTACTTACGACAAGTTAGCGTGGTATATCTAGATTAGTCTTGTTTACTAGAGTCTCATTGAGACGGAGCTGACCAATAAAATTGTATTCTTATACTTCGTCAATATAGAGTATCTGTCTGTAAGGGCAACCTTAAGCTCGGCGCAAAGCGTGGAAACTAGCAGGGGAATCCGAAGAATAAATATAGGTACTATAATACAGGAGCGGGAATACTACGCACCTAGCGGGGGAATCCGAAGAGAAGAAAGGATGAGGATTCCCACGCTAGGTGAAACCTTATATACGAATCAGTAACTACCCAGTAGCACGTGTCCGGAGGTATCTACAATGATCACGGGCCTGGTCGCATAGCACGTGCCAACGGGAACGGGCGGGCAGAAAGCCGGAGGCATTAGCCGGAGGAATAGCCGGTGCGGAAGCCGGAGCGGAAACCGGAGCGGAAACCGGAAGGATAGCCGGAGATATAGCCGGAAAGGCCGAAAGAGCGGGGGTTCCCCTGACACTGTCACAGAGACTACTACGAAGCATTTTGAATAAAACATCCGCAGACAGTGCATACATCACAGCTGTAAACCAGTAGTAGAGCTAGCAACGAAGACTAAGACTCCAACCATTTCCATTTATAAATGTTTATACAAGGTTTTAACCGTTTTCATTTCCGTTTAATTTGGCTCTGGGCTCAAACAGTTTGGAAACAATTTTTTAAATGGTTAAATGGAGAACATCTGAGGCATGGGAGGGTCGGGTCCGGTCAACCCGACCCGACCCGACTCGACCCAGAGGCTGTACAGTCACCTGACCGTCAAGCGCGGGCCGCTTGCATCCGTGTGCCACCATCTTTGAGTTTACTTGCTTCCTACCCACGGCGGTGGTCTCAAATATTCAATGTGAGTTTCCAGTGTGGTCTAATGACTCTTCCCGTGCTGAAGAATTTTTTTCCAAGCACGCACACCAAGACAGGTTGCACCGTTGTGGGACAGTGTCCCAGTAAGCTTGTGAATGGGAATTGAGAGCAATAGATTCAGAGACAAATTTTAAGGAGAAGTGGAATTGGGTGCCAAAAGGAATACTCT